GGATTAAATGGTTTAACATCTCGTCTTCAATTCTACCTTTGATCTTCATGATCTAAGGTCTTGTTTACAAGAATGCATCACTTTGTGCTGTTGCTTTGCATTGGCAGGAGGCCCAAATTTAATAGACCCTCCTTCCTCAGATTATCATTTTCACAATTAGAACTGGGACCAGAGAAGGAGGTGCCTTTGGGGCAGGGGCAGAGAGAAGTAGATGCATGGCAATTCATTCATTTTTCTTCAAAAAAATAGAAAGTGATATAGCCAAGAGAGAGCTATTAATATTATTCAAATAAAGTCAACAGACTCTTGGAAAAAATAAAATAACTGCTGTGAAGGCCCCTGAGTATGTATTATGAATCACTCTTCACCTGCCCTCTCAGAAATTCAATATTCTGAAAAGGGGCATCCAAATACATTTTCTGCTTGAGGGGTAGAGTAAGATGGCACCCACCCATGCCCAATTCCATGTGCAGAAGCCAACAGGAATAGCAGCTGAATCTTACTTCAGCACTGGCAATGGGACAGCATCTTCCGCTGCACCTAAGGGAAGCAGACTAGGTAAGGATGTGCAGGGTCGGCATATTAGTCCGCCAACATCTCACCATCACTCCCTGTTCCTCAGCCACTTCACTCTGCCTAATGGTAGGGCTGGCCCAGATTCTGAGTTACTTAATAAGGAATACCTAAAGTTTCACTACCTCATGAGGGCCAGTATGAAATAGGTCCTGAAGCCTCTGGACAAACTCTCTGGGATGGCAGTGAGAGGATGCAATTATGGTGGAGGGGAAAATGTTATTCTACACTGTTACCACCACTGGGTAAACTTGATAATGGACATGTAGTAGTATTCAGTTGCACTCACCAACAACCTTTCCCCACTTGGGTTTAGTTTGCTCCATCACCCTCTGCTTTGGGGGATATTGCAGAGCAAGTGGGAGAGGAAGCTCAAGAGCGATCATGTCAGCACCCTGAATCATCACTGCAGCCTTCAAATTGACCAGGCTTCCAACAGGAATACCAGCAATATCACCCCATAAACCTCCCCACAGGAGTGTGGAAATGGCTCCATTTTGTCTCTGAAGGTGGATCATGCTGCTGCCGGCAAACACACAGTAAACTCCCCTGGGGTCAAGCCATATTATGTCTGACACCACAGTTTCTCCTCATGTTTGCATCTGGTTAAGATACACTGATAGTAATTGATCCTATTTCAAAATCAGCCTGGCTAGGATCAGGTTGTTGCAAGTTATATAAATAATAATAATAAAGATGGACGATTCAAGGTTCATTTCAATACAAGTTTTGAGGAAAAAAGAGAACTATGGTATGCTTACCTGCAGGAAGGGGGGGGGATTGCATTGGCTGAGGTAGAGAGATAGCATTTGTATTGCAGAACAAGCAAAATACACAGCAGCCCAGCACCTGCAGGAACCAAGAAGTACACATTTCTAATTATTACATCCTGTTTTTTTAAAAAAATATGTAATGGATTTTACTAATATCACATCATTTATGTGAATATCTCATCATGATTTGCATATTGTTTCCATAACCCTTCTATATATATACCTGTGCTATATACTTTGCATGCTGCAGCTTGGACACAGTTATCAAAACCACTATTTTTAAGCTGGATTTTGCAATATTCTTATTGTTAAAGGGTCTAGACTGAGATATGTCCACCACTAGATGATGAAGGCAGAGGCTAGTTGCTGATCCTATTCAGTTTCAATGAAACTGTGGTTGCTTTCTCACCCTTGTAAAAATCAGGTAGGTAGGTATGCAGATAAGAACACCGAAATGCAAAAATAGGATTATTCTTTTTAAGGTATCCCATCCCCATCCCCAATTATCAATTAAAAAGTCCAGCGTGAAGAGAGAGTGCTTGGAAAATCCAGATTCCCTTGCTAGTCAATGAAGTTTGTTAGTTGGCCTTGGATAAATCATTATTCCTTGGCCTAACTGATCAGATAGGATAAAAGATAAAATGAGAGGGGATTGTACTCTGCCTGGGCTGTTATGAAAGAGGCTCAAATAAATGAGTGCTGTCCCAAGTCTTCTTTTCTCATGCCACTATGAGAGGGCATTTGAACACAGAGAGAAAGAGAGAACAAAGGACGTTGCAGTATCAGAAATGCCCTCAGGGAGTATGATTTAGAAAGATGGCTAAGAATCGAATAAGGAAAAGGAAAGGCGAATGTTCAGATGTTTCCTTTCTTTCTTTCCCCTGAACATGTTGCAGTGAAGAGCAGAGCTAAGGAAGAAATGTTTTTTGGAACTCATACCTTTAAAAGTCCATTTCCACCAGCTGAAAATAAATGCAAAACCCCACTCCTGGGCTTTGAATTATAATCACTGAGCTGACACATCTGAGAACACTGCAAAGGAAACTATGAGATCCAGGGATTTCTAGCACACCTCCATGAAACTGGTAAACACTGCAAATACAAACAAAGATAGTCCCTAAAACAAAACCCAAAATGTAGCAGGAGATAGGAATGTCTAAAACAAATTACAGGCTGGAATTGGAAAACTATACAGTTGATGATGTCTATTCAAACCCAAAACTATACAGTTGATGATGGCTATTCAAACATGATTATAGAAGCTAATGAACCACTTAAGCAAGTATCTGTTTATATAATAGCCCTGAAACAAATGAAGCCTCCTTATTTGCAGCAATGCTGTGAACATTTCTGATTTAAGTGTTAAGCATCATCAGGGCAAGGGTAGAAATATATACAGTGCTATAGCAGCATACACCTTTAGTTTTTATCTGTTTTTGTTGTTTTTACAAATAAGGATAGTATGTGCAAATTATACATACCGTACATCAATACTGTAAGCTTTTTATAAAATGTTGGCCATTATAAATAGGAAGGCTAAAGAACACACATACCCGTGTTTCAAGAGTAGAACATGTTACAATGGGTAACAAACGCTCCAACATTCTAAAAAGACTAGTGATTTATCATGGGAAATAACTGTGATGTAAATTATTTAACAAAATTGCCATGATGATAGCCAATAACATTGCAACAGAAAAGCTGCTCTTTTGACTAATTAAAAGTAAAGCGCAGGAGACCCAAACACATCCCTTTTCCTCAGATGTGTGTTCAAACAGTGAAAGGAGAAACATTTTGAGAGGAGAGACTGTATACTAAAGGTGTAATTTGATAGAGTTTGGAGCTCTGCTAATGAGCTGATGTTACTTGCATATTAAAGAACGATAGAAAAACTTTTGAGAGTTCTCACACAGGCTTTATTAAGCAGATGACCTTACAGAGCTAGTCTCCCCATAGCTTTACCTATAGAAATGTTTCAGTGCTGGGCTTAAGTTTTTGTCCATTGAATAGAAAATTAGAGTTATATTTGGGAATTCCAAGATTCAAATCTCACCTCAGGTGTATACTTTCTTGATGAATTTAGATGAGGTAGCTATGTTTCTGTTTACCATTTGTGAATAGGAAATAGCAAAGTTTTAAATCATCATGTTGTAGTGAGGATAACTGAGATATCAGCTAAGGAGTATTTGAAATTTGCCAAAAGTTTTTGATCAATAGCCTGAGATCAGTCACAGAACAGATGAAATTAGCTCAGATAACTGAGCAGGAAATACCTTCTGGGTTCAGAGTGTGTGAAGCAATAATGTGTGAGCACAGATGCAATAATGTGTCTTCTAAACATGATAAAGCCTGTATTTTAAAATTGTCAGAAGAAAAGTCTTCTAATTTTTAGTAGTACCTTCAGTCTGGCTCCAAACATCTGGTAGTCAAAGCAGTGGTTGAAAATAATTAGTCTTTAATTGCCATCAATTTTAATTTTCATCTTGGTGATAATCCAGTTAGTGGGTTCTAAACCCTTGGTAAACAATAATGAAATCTTCGTTTCTGGAAGTCTCTGCTAGCTGACTCAAAGGCTCCATTTCAGGTTGCAAGATTGCAGTTCAGTAGAAGTATTGTAAGCTATTGTCAAAAGAACAGGAATGCTCTCACTATTGGGCATTCATTCTTCCATGTGCATGTGAGGGGGACTGGGGACATATGTAGGACTAGAAATCCAGAAAGGCTAAGGGGCAAGCAGGCCTGGCAGCACAGCTGGGAAGGATGCTGCTAGACATGAGAGACACTTGCCTGTATTATCTGTTAAGGGTAGGGTACAGGGACAGCATAAAAGGGGTCACATATCAGTGTTAGAGCATCTGCTTTCCATGTGGAAGATTCCAGGCTCAACCCACAGCAGCTGAAGGTAGGGCTGGGAGAGACTTCTGCCTGAAATCCTGTAAACAATGCTGAACTAGCTGCCCAATGGTCTCCCTTGGATTAAGACAGATTTCTGTGTTCCTAGAATTATGCTGCCAGGACCTATTATTGAAAAACATTTGGAGAGGAGGAATTATGGACAGCGAGTAGGAAGCAGCAGTGTTTAGAGGACAGCCACAGGCATTAATTGGAGGACGTTAACAGTGACAGGAGCAGAGCATGACAGCTACAACAGGGCATTTAACTGCAGGTTTCCATGCTTAGCAGTGACCTAAATGCCCACAGAGCAAGGCAAGAAACAGCCCTTTGCTGGCATCACTGTGGTGTGTGCAACGGATGAAGGCAAGAACTGGTGTTTGAATGTTACAGAAACACTTTTCTAAAAGCGTGTTGGCACTGGTAGGTGGGCAGTGGCACCATTTGGGCTCCACTGCAGGTAACAAAGGACTGGCGTTTCTGGTACTGAATTGAGAGATAAGATTAACTATGAACGTGAATGCTAAATGAGGTTTTATTTCTGCAATAAGACAGCCGCTCCCAGTCTCTAGTCACTCCAAACGGGACAGCATGAAATCTGCATTTGACAGCAACTTTGTGCTCTGTTTGGGAAAACCCAACCCATCCTCCTAGAATGCATGGTCCTGAAGGTCCATGGCTGGGTGTCCAGGTACATTGAAATGCTCCCCCCATTTTTACCGGTTTGTCAGTGTTGCCATTTTTTTAGAGTAAGTCCCACCAGCTGTAGCTCAGTGATAGAGCATCTGTTCAGGATGATCCCTGATCCCTCTTCAGGATCTGCAGGAGAGCCCAGATCCAATCCCTGGCATCTCCAAGGTAGGACTAGGAGAGAATGCTGCCTGAAATCCTGAAGAGCTGCTTCCAGTCACTGCAGACCATACAGAGCTAGGTGGACCGATATCCCGAATAGGCAGTTTCCTGTGTTGAAATCAACGAGGCTTTCTTGTACTTAGGCATGTGCAAGATTGCACTGTGTGAATGACTGATTTGTGTTTGTTTATGCTCTCACAGTCTGTTAGTTTCACTAATTTCATTCAGGCAATTTGAAACTTGCAAAATAAAAAAAATAAAAATAAAAACTGTTTACAGTGCAAGGTGAGGAGGTTGGCAGCAAGCAAGCAAGCAAGGAAGGAAGGAAGACCTTGCCTGATCCCTGGGTTTAAGCCAAAATCATTTGAGGACATAAGAACAAATCTCATTGTTAATCTGTTATTGTAGCACATCTGAATTTTCCATTTTAATATCAAATATAATAAAAACTATGTGTTATTCTGTTAAAAAGCGGCATGTATCAATCATGAAGTAAAAAAATGAAAGAAACAACTGTAATACATTATGGGAAAGTACCAGCGGTGGGGGTGAGGATTTCTTTTCAGCAACACAAAGAGCTAGGCAGTGCAACTCTCTTAAACAAGTATCTATAAAAAGCTGTTGAAAGAATAAATTTCCACTGTCCCCTGGGAGTCTGCTTTACAGTTTTTCATTGTATTGTAGTGCTGTATTAACACAATACCTAGGATAGGTCATCTTTTGGACAGGTAAATCATAAAATACATGCAATTTGCCAACAGGAGCTGAAGCAAACAGCAAGCAATAATATACTAAAAACCAATTAGAAGCAATACATCTTCTGGGGAAGAGGGAGGGGAAGGGCTAGGGCTTCCCTCTGAGATCCTCGACAGCGCTGGCTTCTCGAAATTGGCTTCCAGAAATTGGCGACAGTGACACTCTCTGCAGAGTTTTACCATGACATTTTTTTTAAATAGCAAACCACAACAACAGCAACAAAATCAAATTTGAATTCTGCACCTAGATCACACTTTCAAGTCAGAAACATGTGCTTTATGTAGCATTGTTTGAAGTTCCTCTGTCTCTTTTCTGATTTGCTGCTTCCCTTTATCACTCTCTGTTACATCAGATAGGCTGCCAACGGTTTTTCAGGAGAGGTGAGCAGAATGCTGACAATCTGCATTTGTAGTTATGTAGAAAGTGGCTGGAACTGCTGACTTTTAAAAATAGCAACAGCTAATTCCCCTGTGAGCTGCCGGAAGCTGCTAAAGAAGATGTAGGGTTTTAAATCTTTGATGTTAGCATGGTTAAGTAATTAGGAGGCTTGGGGACTTGAACCCCCCCCCCCATGAGGTTTATCTATATTTTATATAGCACCATTTATTCCAATAATTTTAATACAATTCATAGTCCAGTATTCATGTACTAAGAGATATCCATTATTGCAGAATGTGGCAAAAAGGGGTGTTACCTTCCATTTGGTAGAGTGAGATGAATTATTTTAACAACAATGATGGTTATTCAGCATAATAATAATTTACTAAAGTGCGTCTCGTGGTTTTTATTTACCTTAATAGCTAAGAATGGAGCTTTCATATTTAGAGGCACAAACGGCAAGATGTAATTGAAGATATCAGATGAGTTTCCCAGGTTGAGGCCAAGGGCTGAAATGAGGATTGGCTAAACTGACGGCCTGAGAAATCCTCATGAAGTGAGGGAGTGAATTAAGGCATCTGATAGGGAGGGTGGTGTATGGGGGGGGGGGAGAGTCTGTGGACAAGGGGCTGTGTGTATTATCTTTAGATGTGATGCCAGGGGAACTTACTCGATTATTTTTAAAAACTTAATTTTGCTGGTAATGCATGCAACAAATAAAGCAAAAGCTCTGCTGTCTGTTTTGACAACCAGCCACCATATTTGAAATCTTAAACTGGCCAAGCCATCCTGTCATTTTGAGGGATTTGGGCTGGGGACGAAGAATGGAATCTGCTACACACAGTAATCCAGTCTCAAAGTAACAAGTGCGCGAACTATTGGAGCCTAGCTCTCAGTTGAGGAATGGCTGATTACCCATAAAAATGAATGGGGAACAGAGAGCTGTTTCATACAGAGCAACTTAAAATCTGAACCACAGATAAAAGGTGGCGGAAAACGAAATGATTCAGAAACGGAACATACTTGCTTAAAACAAATCACATGTACAAGGTGAATCTTGGGGCCTATGCACATCTCTATCATATACAGGATGTGCAAGTCTCATTGGTTTTCTGCATTACATGTATGGTTAAAAGTGAGTCACTATCTGTGATTTAAGCATTGCTGCATGCTTTAAAAACATGCAGGAGAGATATAGTGCTAAATTTACAAATCTGACTGCATTTCTTTAGATTTGAATAAGGGCTGTAGATGCTCTCTCACTACCGAAAGTAATTGACTCCCATTTTCTTATGTGTTGTATTTGTACTTAGTATTCATATCTGATGTTCCATAAAATGTATAGGTTGTATTCATGTTTAACACTCCACTTGTCGGGATAATGGTTTTTGTTGCTGTTTTCCTTGCCGGGTGTTTTTCTTTTTTTAGTTCTCCCTTCCACTAATATGTGGATACAGATAAATAAATATAGTTATATCCACCACCCTTCTCAGTCATATTCCTGGATCTGATAAAGCATGCTGTGACCTACATAAGCTCAGGCCGTAATAAACCAATTAATCCTTGTGTTGCAACAACATTATTTATCTTTTGTTGCTCCAGGCTGTTATTTTCTGGAATCTTTTGGAATTTGAGGGACAAAGACAAACTCCTCAGCTGGTATCGGAGCTGAATTAACACCTGTGAAACTAAGGAAGAAATACCAATATTATACCAGCTGAGGATGTAGCCCATATGTATATCCACTTGATCACAGAGAACAGAATCAAATCCTTTGAGATTTGTTACAATGAAGGCAGGAAATGCTTCATTGCATGAAGTAAGGCAGCAGCAGCACCTAACAAGCCAGCTATTCATGCTCATTACTGCTAATTTCACGGCTGTTTCTCTTAATACGAATGACCCAGTGTGTGGAGACACCACTGCTTGCTCTATATTACATTGGATAATTTATGTATTATATTCATTCCCCTTCTACTTTTGATCTGGCATATCAGAAGGTGGGAGTACTTAAAATGACATTAAACAAGAGTTGCCATTGCTGATAGCTGATGGAAAAGAAAATCAAAAGGTCTCTGTTCAAGAGTAGGCATGTGCTTCTTTAGGGGTTGTTGAACATTTCAGGTGCTTGTGAAGTGTTTGGCTAGGAAATCCAGATAAAGCTGCAAGTGCTACGTACAAGTGGGACTCATTTTATAAAAGTGGACACCTAAGCAGAGCGAAGGGGAACGACATCATCTGACTGTTTGGACTGCTGTAATAATGATAACCTGGTTCACTTAATCTTGTCTTATAGGCATTTTGTGCATTCTTTTTCTCTGTATGACTATATTCTCTCTCTCTCTCTCTCTCTCTCTCTCTCTCTCTCTCTCTCTGTGTGTGTGTGTGTGTGTTCAACCCTGTTGAATCAGACCAAGGCCCAGCCCTGCATTCTGTTCTCAATGACCAACAAGATGCCTATGGCACAACGTGAGTGTAACACTAAATACTCTCCTGCTGGCATGCCCCAACAACATTAAGAGGCATACTGTGTGTGCATCTTTGGTACTATAAATAATCACAAACAAATGGCAGCGCCAAAGGGACCGGAAATCAGTACTTTATCATAAATGAGCCCAGCACTTGTAAAAGTTCCCAGAACTAATGTAAGTCAAATTGTCTTTGATTTGATTCCGAAATATGCTACTGAGGTAGATGGAGCTCTGTTTCGTTGAGTTTATGTGTGTGTGCGCACACACAGTCTCAAAATAATGATTGAAGTGAAAATAATGATTGAAGTGATATTGTTGATTCTCCTCATTAGCTTTCAATAACATAGACCATGGCCTTCACCTGGAACAGCTGAGTTGGGCATGGACAAATCTGCCTTGCAGTAGTTCCACTCTTACCTGGATAGTCATGTCAAGAAGGTGATACTGAGGAATTGTTGCTCGTTATTGTCACTTCTTCACATTGAGGTTCCACAGAGATCCTTCCTGTTCCCTATGTATCTACATGAAACTGCTGAGCAGGATCATTTGGGGTGGGGTGGGTTGGAGTGTATTGTCAATATGCATGTCAGGAATGTGGCCCCCCAGAGCGCAGGGGATGAGTTAGACTCAGAGATTGAACTAAGTGAATGAGGGACCGACTCTGCAGATAAGAACTGGTTGACAGAATCAAGAAAGGGCGACCCCCCCCCTTCCTAGTGAAGACTCTATTAGCTCTCAAGAAGAGGAAGAGTTGGAAGGCAGCCAGAGCATTGCTAGGCAATCAGCAGATAAGCAGAGATCTGAGTGTGTTGAGTCAGAGTGGGGAGGAAGGGGAATATCAGTATCTCAGTCCCTGTTCTAGGCATTTGGATAAAATCAGAAGGCAATTGAAGGGCAAGAGGGGAACGGTGGGAGTCTGGCATCCTTCATGCTGTGGGAGGGGCGAAACCTCAGACTGACCAACAAATGTAAATGTGAACAGGCAAGAAGTCAGCCTCTGGATGTGTCTTTTTGTAAATAAACATACATAAAATTGACGGAGAGTAATTACTTCCTATAGGGGCTTTCTTGCCTGCCAGAGAAAATTACAATGCAGTTCTCTTTCTCTCTCTTTGGAGCCAGGTGAGGATGTGGGTGCCAGACTGGTGCCTGGCTACAATTGCTTAAAACTTAACAAGTGCTCAGTTCAAGTAAATCAGTAACACTGTGTAAATAAATATACATTCTAGGATATTGTTTTACTTTATCCTATTTCTTTAGAAATGCATATCTCAAATGTGTATTTGACATAAAATACACATTTAAATACATATTAAAATATGAATTTTAATTCAGGTTTTTTAAATCAAAAGAAGCTTGTACAGAGAGAAGATTGTGGAAATGCAAAGCTTTATATATT